AAATAACAATATAAACAATTTACTCTAAATTCCATATGAATAATTTACACAAAATAAATCATACTAAAAGTACGTAAATGCAATTTTTACTTACCCAATCTTGTTGCGCCTGTAGGTGACACCATCCTTTTCCTTCCTTAAAGTGACTTTTTTGCATCCATCAATATGGTTTATCCTTCCAATTTCTTTTTTCTACAAAAAGCCACAAAACTATTACTAATATTTCATAGAAAATGTTGAAAACCCCTCAAATAACACTAAATAAATCTTACTTCCTTATGCCGCTTTTGGGCATAGGATTCAACACCATGGGAACTTCCATACACCCGCTTTCCCCTATTATCTTTATTATTTACAGAACAGTTTTAATACTTTTCGTTTATAAATAAATTTCCTCCATGTTTTTTCATTCATTCTAGGTGGGGGGTGTTTCTTTGCCGTTGTCACATCATTGTAGCCTCCAACTCTGATAAGATGCTTTTTCACCTTCGATTTGCGGCGCCTGTAACATGCTTTGAAATCTGTCACATCCCCAATCCAGAACGGCGAAATCGTTCGAAGGCGAATGACTTCATGTAGTATCGTAACAATTAAATACATAGTAAGGAAAGTAAAACAACCATCATATATATAATTTAAAAGTTACATTGTTGAGTGATACTTGTTCAATATAAATTACAATATGATGACAAAAATGAGTTTTAAACTAACGCCTTACCGTCCCTTCTCCAAAAGTTGGGGTTTACCTGTATTACTGAATCCTTGAGAAATACAAGTAGTTTTGAAAGAGTGTCAACAATTAAATTGGTGAGTTCATAAGCGTTTATGTATAAAATTTGTAAGTTTGGTATAAAATCACTGAGTTTATTTCCGAAAAATCCAATATTTTTCCATGAGTGTGTGGTAGTTTAAAAGTTCCAAAACTGTTATGCATTAGTAGTTGTCATGCCTAGAATAATAGATTTATGTATGTATAAAATCACTAAGACATTTGATAACCCCGTAAATCTTCGTGTTTTTAATACTCCATGTTAGTTTTATACCCATGCTATTGACTTAGGCTGCCTGTAACAACGTTCTTTATTAAAACTTCGTGTTTTACGTTCAATCGTATTGACGGTTTTGTGGTGCAATATTCGGTTGGTCATAACTTCTTTGTTATAACTCGGATTTTAGTGTTCTTTATATTTCTGAAAACCTTGACATGATAACTATCATTTATGAAATCCAGTAGATGACTTTTGAACATTTTATTTTCGACAATAATTTCATTATATTAAAAGGGGTTACAATTCTTGACTTTTTAGGTCATTACATTGATTTGAAATATCGGGTTGTCACAAAATCCGCGTCAATTCTTTGCACAATGACATTCCAATGAAGCGTGTCACGGAAAGAATCTATATCAAAATAATTATACAAAAGAAAATGAAAGGATTATAAAACATCGCAAAAATATAAAGTTGTAATACTAATAAAACCATTAAATTTTATACTTACATGCAAAGTGCGATAGATTTTTCTTTTATACTTACATGACTCACAAGCTTTGGGGATCATATGCATCTGTCTTGGAGGATCACCCCCACCGTCTCCATTGTGTCCTCTAGCAACATGTACTGACATTGTGTTGAAATAAATAATAAACATAATTTAAACAAAACATTATAAGCAATAATTTTAACATTTAACAATCATCTATAAAGATACAAAAACATTATAATACGTTTAATCATAATCATCATTGGAATAATATGCATCTATAGAATCATCATCAATATCATTATTGTCATCAACAATTTCATCTTCTGAAGGGTAGCAATCATTGTGTTCTTCATCATCATCAATGAAATTCCCATCCCCTGTGATAGGAGCATCACCACTATCTTCACCTAAAGTTGTTTGCATAGGCAAATTGCCTAAATCGAAAACCAAGTTACAATAAAAGGTTAGATCGTCCACAATAGGGGTATTACATCTCTCAATAACCACACTTGAGTCACCAACATCACCTATGTCAACATCCAAGTTATAATCAGACGATTGATTATCATGCAAGACATCTACATCCATACTTGGATGATCCCACAATTTTCTATGGTGAACGTCTTCTACAACCCTCCAACTATTGGTGTTTCGTGAAGGATCTTTAAGATAAAAGACTTGTAACACTTGTGTGGCTAAAATGTATTGTTGGTCATCATACCATGAATTACCAACATACCATTCATGACTGATGTTGATAGAGATGATACCATTTTCATTAACTAATCGTCCTCTCCCCATTGTGTTAAACCATTTACCACGAAATAGAACAAGTGAATAATCACTTAAATAGTTCAATTGTATGATATCCTCCAGTTGACCATAAAATGGTGTACCATCTTCTCCAAATGAAACAATACCACTATTCTGAGTAGTACGTCGGAGATCACGACAATGTACCACAAATCTAATATCGTTGATTATGTAACCAATGTAAGAATATGCATTCAACGGACCATGTGCCAAATCTTTTACTTCGTTGGTACAGTCTGGGGACAATTTTTATTGTAGACGATAAACCTGAAGAAAAATATAAGATTGACACTTTTAAAGATAATATATTTTAGATTTATATGTAATATATGTATATAATGTTTTTACCTTATGACTGAACCATGAGGGAAATTTCTTTTTTACATCTTTTTTAGGATATTTAGATTCAAATTCGTTGTAGTTAGGAGAAATGGTTCATGTTAGTTTCCCAAAATACCTAAATATAAAGTATAAATAGAAAATTACTTACAATATGTAGCCTTTAAGTTCATCGCAGATGTTAAGTACAAACCATTGTAATGATTGCTCGCTTTTTCAGAAAGAGCAATTATTTGCATCTTGGAAATTGGTCGACACTGTGATGAAAACACAGAAAATTGCATCTTTGGAAGGCCGCCATCTTTATTTCTATCGGGACAATTGAACTTCGTTTGTATACCATCAAGATACATGGAACATAATGTCAATGCTTCATCTGCAACATAACCTTCCGGTATTGAACCTTCAGATTTGGCTTTATTTCTGACATAATATTTCATCTTTTTCGTGTATATTTCAAAATGATACATCCATCGCATACATACAGGCCCTCCAAGAATAGCTTCTTCTGGTAAATGTAGAACTAGATAAACCGTTATGTCGAAAAATGTTGGTGGATATATCAACTTGAGATTGCATAATATCTTTATCAATTCACAGTGTGCTTTATACATGTCTTTCACATCTAATGATCGTGCATGGATTTTTAAAGAATGTGTAAAGGTCAATGATTGTTTTTGACACATTAGCAGGCATACAACCTCGGACCCCTATTGGTAGCAATCGTTGCATGAGGATGTGATAATCATGAGACTTTAACCCAGTTATATTTGAATCATTAGAATGTACCTTATTCATAAATTTCGATCCAAAACCATTGGGTAGTCTTACACCTTTAATGAACTGACAAAAACGTTCTCAATCAACTGGTTTGAAAGAGTAATCTAGATGTGGTGGATAATTCTTGTTGTTTTTCTTTTGCAGCCATATATTCTCCCGAATGCCCCATTTTTCCAAATCTTATCTTGCTTTGTGCGTATCTTTTGATTTTTCATTCTTTAACGAAGTACCTAACAAGATCTCACCAACATTTTTCACCACGTGCATAACATCTATATTGTGTTTTAGATCGAGCGAACACCAATAATCAAGCTCGAAGAAGATACTCTTTTTGGTCTAGTTTAACTCTGACTCGGTTCGCCTTCTTTCACTAGTAGAAAAAAATCCTTTTACGACGTGCAATGCATGTTGTAAAACAATCAGACGACACGCAAATGCGTGTCAAAGAAGGCCCTGTCATAACGAGAGACGACATGCTTTTGCGCGTCGTCTATTTACGACAGGCATTTACGACGCGCATTTATGACATGCATTTACGACGCGCAGTTACGGCACACAATGTGTACCAAGCAAGGCCCTGTCATAAAGGAAGACAACACGCATTTGCATGTCATAACCTTACGACGCGCGTTTAGGACACGCATTGCGTATCATTAAAGCCCTTGTCATAAATGAAGATGACACATATTTGTGTGTCATAATTTTAAATGTTTTAGATATGTGTATATATATATATATATTTGATAGAATTACTAATTTTCAAATTAAACAATAGACTAAAATTATCATAACATAAAATAAAATACCATACATGAACGATAATTCATTTCAAAAAAATATCACATGTCAAACAAGTTACTTAACATTACATGTCAAACAACACTACATGTCAACATTAATAACACTTAAAACATGCTTTTTCCTGCATTTGGAGCACCCACTATTCCTATATCAGCAACCAACTTTATGTACAATTCCAACCACCTGTAAAAGAATAACATTAGAAGATCAACATTTGCTTGATTTGATGATCTAACATTAGTTACCCTGGGACCAGTTCCTATTAAAAAGATACATATGAGAATATATATATATATATATATATATATATATATATATATATATATATATATATAGCTTATGTGAAGTCAAATTGAGTTAACTTATCAGCATGAATATGTATGTTAATGTGCCTTGGGATACTTCCAATTCCAATAGGACTATATGCCCTAGGATTTGCATTTGCATGACAATCAAAAAGAGAATTGGTTTGTAGAGGAAAGGGTTGCAAGGAGATTGTGGAATTTGAATGTATTGTACAAAATCCTCACATTGTCCTCATGGCCACGACTGTTTATAATAAAAGAATGCATAAGGTAAAACCACATAGTCACATACAATAATAGAATAAAGCAACTTTACAGAAAGAGTGAAGAACCTTAAATTTGATCCCTGACAAATGCTAGTGCTGATGTGGCCATGGAAAGCAGAGACAAGTTGAAGACGCTTTCCGAATTCACCAATGCTAGAAGTTCGAATAAAATCGTCCAACGTGTATTAAAAAGTAGATATGTTAAAACTTTTCAATAAATTACAATCATTTTCTTTACAGTGGTGGATTGACTATAATCATCAGTATCAGTAGACTGACTATGCCTAAGAACCGAGTATAGTGGAAACCCAAACTGCAATGGAATTCAAAAAGAGTGTCAATTTGGTCTTTTTACTTATATCTTTATAAATAATAATTGTTTCCAATAAATTAAGATATTTTACCTGGCCAACATTACTATCAAATGCAGCTTTGAAATGGTTTCTTGAAGATTCCGGACCCTGTTAAGTAAGAACTGCAAGGCCGACAAAGCCTACAAAAGAACAAAAACATTGTACATGTGGAAAAGTCAACTGAACAAAATTTGTAGGTTGATTAGTAGAAGCCAAAAGTCTAGCCCACATCCTATTTATCAACTTAACAACATAATTAATGTAAATATGAGAGAGTAAGAGTGCTTAATTACCAATATAGGAATATATGCATGTCTGCTATTGACAGGTCCAACTGTAAAACCAGAAAACCTTGCCATGGCCCCATGAACCGCACTTTGAGCAAGAAGTGTACAGTAGATGTTATCATATGCATTGCTTGGAATAGCATGTATCATGTATGTTGGATCTGCAAGGGTACAATCTTCATTTCATCTCATTCACCCACTTTACCCATTCATTCAATCATTTATATATTCAAGTGTACCTATATATTTCATGTGTATGGCCATTTTCTTGACAGTTGCAAAATGGTTTTTAATTTTATGGGTCAACCATTGACCAATATCAATAAGCAGTTTATTTCCAGATGCATCTCTCTCTTCAAATGCATTCACACTATCAGAAACATATTCTTGGCCTGTGCCTTCCGCCAACACAATCACCACATGCCCGTTCTCTTTAAGTCTCTGCTGAATGAACTCAAAAAGACCACCTTGCCCTTCTAGATAGAATGGAGACTCTGGAATCAAGCAACAATCCTGTTTTACAATTACAATAACACCTATTAATTATTATTAACATATCTATCTTATTCTTGCATTACAGATTAATAAAACTAATAATATTACAAATTTGTTATTTAGTTACCACATCTCGACTTGCCAACGTGGCAAAATGGCAATGAATCCTGAAAAAGGTCAAACAAGTTTGGAAGAATAAATAAGAGAGAAAAGAATTAACTTTTTAACAATTTATTATTTCATGAGGACATTGAAGATAGACCTATAAGTTTGACTACTCCAACTCCATTTTCAACACTTTCCACTTCCACATGTGCAACATTTATTGCACCTTGAGCTTCCTCTACAACAGTATCAAACCCAAAATATTTGTCGATTACCTGAAAACAATTAAGTATTATTATTATTATTATTATTATTATTATTATTATTATTATTATTAATGAAAAAAGCGTATGACCTTTGGAAGAAGGGTGTTCATAGGTATATACAAGATCATATCAATCACATCCACAATTTTCTGAAGAGCAGGATGATCATCCCATCCGCTTAGAAGGTGACGAATCTGATTTTGAAGATTCATAACTGGATCCACCATCTTGGCCAACATGGAAGCATTTGAATCCTATATCACCAAGAGAAGTTAACAACTAAAAAGTAAAAGATATAATCTAACAGACAAAAAAATGAAATAGAACACAAGACCTTCTAAAAATTATAAGAATTGTTTGGTAGATGAGATGACATTGATTTCTGATCATGCTCCAAGGAAAGGTGTAGTACATGTTCTGGAATAAGATTTGAGTCCAAATTCGAACATAATAAGCCCTCCATATCTGGAAATAGTAATAATAATATGAGATTTGTAATTGTGTATCTTAAAAAGGAAACCCTATAATCCGAAATAGCAGAGAAAATGACATGAGACTCACGATAGTGAAAGGAGATTTAGAATCAGAACTCAAAATCTGTGATTCCAAAGTCATGATAGGCTCTGTTTTATTTCCAATTCCATTTCCATCCATATTGTCTGTGACAGCAGGAACTTACTAGAGGGAAGCTTATAATGCTTATGGAAGTCTTAACAAAACCTTTCGCCTCTTCACCATCATTTATGTTTTTCTCTTCTGCTTAAATCGACATCTCTTTCTGTTGGATATAGTGTCTAAGTCCATAACTTTATTTGCTATGAACTTGACCCGACCCGGCATGGTCCATTTGGGTTGCATGGCATTGCAATACTTGGATAGACCAAATGAGAGAATAAGGCACTTATGATTATTAATATATTATAAGTTCTAATATATTAATAATAGTATTATTTAATTAGTATTTGATCAAGTATTAATCTAGAATTAATTTGGTGATCAAAGTGAGACTAATTAAATATGTAGGGTTGATTATGACAATCATCAATTCTTTTATGGTGGATTAATGATCCATGGTTTATGGGTTTGGTTATAACCATATGGAGCTCCATGGATAGTCCATGGGAGTTACAAACCCATGGGTCATGAGAAATGAAGAGTCATGACAATTAGGGTTTACATTTGTAACTCCTAATTATGACACACTATAAAAGAAACCCTATAGCATGCAAAATTGGCACTAGAGTATTCTTGTGAGGGCATAGCCGATTTTGAAGTGTAGAAGTATTCTCTCTAGTTATTCCAAGGTTGTAGTGTTGTGTGAAGCATTTGAGGCACAACATTTGGGGTGCTAGGCTCACAAAGTCTTAAAGGAATCCAAGCAACAACAAGGTATGTATTTCTACTAGTTTTTATGTTTTATGTAATCCCCATGCCATGCTAGTTAGGAAATAACTTTGAAAAAGAAATTTGCATGTATATAGAGAAAACATAGATTCAAGGTTATTAGGGTTGCATGTACACTTAGGAAGTTTTAGAATGCTCAAAACCCAACAGTGGTATCAGAGCCTAGGATTGTTTTCTGTATACTTGATGCAAATTGCTTGAAAAAGTCAAAAATCTACTCTCTGACGACTGGACTCGCCGAGTTCATGGGGAGGACTCGCCGAGTCCATGAACAAATTCATCCTACTCGTCGAGTAGGATAATGCACTCGACGAGTAGGCGCGTGCTGGGCAGTCTTTTTGTGTTTTGTTGCTGGAAATGGATTAAAATCATTATCCCAATATGTTTTGGACTTGTAAAATCTGTTTTTCAAAATGATAATGATTATGTTAACCCAATTTACATGACTTTTATTAATTTTCAAGTATTGTATATGTTTATATGATTTCTTGAAAATTGCTTGGCATGAATTTGTGTTCTTATGAGTTTTTAGAAGATCATAGGAATTATGTGTAACCTCCATGTGTGGTTAATTCATGATCTTAATGGCAATAATGGTGTCCATAACTTGTCCTCAAGTTATGGATAACCAAAGGTCACTTCTTTAATTTGTGTTTAAAGAAGTAAAGAGGTTTCATAAAATGAAGAGTCTTCATTTTTATGAACCATTAAAACTCATAAGTTACAAATTGAAGAGACTTGGAATAGTTTCAATTCTTGCCCTCAAGTTTTGGAATTTGTAAAGTCTTACACTTTAATTCCAATTTTTTTTAAAGTTAAAAAAAAAAAATCAAACTTTATGGACTTCATTAAATTAATTAAAGTGTTTAATTAAAAGAGTTAATAATTCCATAAAGACATGGTTTAAGTTTAATTAAATTAAGAGTATAATTTAATTAATAGATTAAACCACCAAGTATTTTAAGTGTTTAAAATGCACCCTTATACTATTATTATAATTTTAATTATATAGATATGTATAAGAATATGTCATTCTTACCGTTAGTAGGCATCATTCACGAAACCGGTCTATAAGGGGGGTATAAGGTTGTTGCCTATAAAATGGTGACTTAGTGGGTGGATACGACTTTAAATACTCATTAAAAGTATAATGAATTATAAAGTAACTATACATTATAAATTCCCAATTTTAGTTACTTTAGGAAAATGTGAAATTGGTGCTAGCCCATTAAATTACACTTTGTACCTTACCAAGTCGTTAGTGGAGCGTGTGTGGTTAATCAGCACACTAACATGGACTAGTAAGAGTGGCAAAGGGTAACTTGACTTTATTATAGATCGGTGGAGCGTGTGTGGTTAACCGACACATTGATTAGGTAATATTGTTGAGGGTACCAAATCAATTTGTATGGTTATTCACACCTTGTTTGTGATCCTCGACATCCCAGTCACAAACTTGAGAGGGCACAATCGAGATTCAAACATGCCATTGAAAGTTCAATGTATCTCAAAAGATCTAGGAGTTTCAAATCCAATTAAAACTTAATTATATTTCGTTTTTCATGGTGGAAATTGGTAAATCGTCATTTACCTACCTTTAACTATTTTATAATTTGGATTACGACATCCCTCTTCCAGTTATAAATAGGTTATTGGGTCCTAGCCTTAATATTTCATATGGGTGTTATATTAAGGACTTTAAATCAACTAACTTGAATTTCTCCCATTATAGATGTCTAGTTTAGACAGCTATGGTCTTCCCAAATCTTAGGAAGAAGCTTCCTAATGAAGATGATATCCCGAATGGCAATCAAGGTGAAAGATCAATCCCTTTGTTGTGCATTAGTGGGACTGGAAATCATACTTCACTTCCTCCACCTCCTCCAATAAATCTCCCTATCCCACAAGTTTCAAGACATGATAAGTTCTAAGTCACTCAATCCCTATTGGCAAACAAAGTCTATATGTGCTTAGGTCTTGGAGATTAAGTCACATATTGACAAGCCGGGAGAGTCGGGTGTCGAAGTCTCAAGGTAGCTGGCTGTTGACTTGGTCACTCCCTGATGACAGATCACGACATGACCCTAATGATCTTACCTATTTGCTTGATGATGCTGAATCAGCAATGATTTGGAGCATTGGTAAAGCAAAATTTGATTGGAAGATCAATTTCCCAAACTTCCATGGACATTTACAATGGTAACATTGGAAGTCCAGAAAAACTTTCTCTTCCCAATTGAAAGGGATTGGCCATAGTCAACTCGGTTGACCAAATGGTAAAGAGAAAGGCTAAGTCTGTGATAGTCCCGTGTACCGTTTCCAAAGAGTCCATATGTTTCTAAAGGAAGGGCATTGGTTGCGAAGCTGCCAAATTTACCTAAAAGTCCATAAGGATAGTAAAGTCAAATGTTTGACTCTACTTCAGGTAAAGTCCATTGTCTAACTCTATTAAGTTTCTATTCTGAGATTCTTATTGCATGTTGTGACTGGGTCACATATTGATGTTTAAGAATCAAAGAAGAGTGAAGAAACTTAAAGGAAGTATATGCTGATTCTGATCGTGAAGATGGATTTCGATTGCATGGTTCGGTGATCAGAATTTTGAGTTGTTACTTAAGAGTTAGATATATTGCTTAGGAAAGGATAACAACAAGTTTTCCATATGGATTGTAAGGATAAGTTTTCCGCAAAGTTTTAAAATAAAAGAAAATGGTTTTGATTTTATTTATTTTAAGTATCCTTACAATGGCATTTGTGAAAAAGGTTGTTGCTTATATGTTTCCATTGATAAGCAATATGGGTAAATGGATTTGATTCTTTCATTAGTGGTAGTATCATAATTTACCAAATAAGGAAAGATTCTCATCACCCAAGTTTCAGTTGGATAGAAACTTGGAATCATGCAAGTTGTATTGTGTGATGAATGAGAATTTTCATCTTTGGTAAATTAAGACTAATTCCTTGTTCACATTCACATGTGAGTCAAGCAAAGGACTAAGAGATTGGGTACACTTGGTTGTGTGTGGTCAGGTCCACCACAAAGGTTGATAAGATTATTCATTATGATTTACTAAAGTTTAGTAAATATGGTTATGCTTACGAGTTTAAGTGTAATTCTGAAACATTGGAAAAGTTTCAATGTATGGCAGAATGAATAAGAAGAATCAAATAAGGCAGAAAGATAAAAGTTTCTCCAATCTGAAGAGATGGGAGAGTACTTGTGTATTTTGTTTTATGATTATCTTAGTGATTATGAAACCAGATCACAATTGATCCTCTAAGGACACCTTAGTTCATTTGTTTGGCTAAGGAGAGGAATCATGAGTTGTTGAAATGGTTAAATCAAAAGATAAATCATACATCAAATCTTAGAGTCATACTCCAAGATTGAGCCATTGAGTGACATAATCTTTAGAAAGTTTATAACACTTATCAAATGTAGAGTAAGATGTGTCATACTCTTGTACATTTGAGGTTGGTTAGTTGTGATGTTTTGGATAAAACAAAGACCAACTAAGTCCAATTATGGGAAGTGTTTAACTTGATAAGAATCCGCACTAGCTCTTGAATATTTGTATTGTCAAGGAATGGTTCTTGACAAAGATAAGTCTTATATGTCAAGAGGACAGTGGGAGTCTAAAAGATTCTGAAATAGTTTCAAGAACTAATCAAGAGTTTTGTTAATCACTAGCCCACGACTTGAGGTTTGTAACCTATCGTGTTGACATATTCTGTACTCATCCCAGTTAAGGTTGGATTTTGCATTGGAGTTCTAAGAGTTCTCGACTGTTTGCATAACAACCTGGAAGCAATGGTAGGCCCTTGTGCTGCCAGGTGGCAAGAAATTAAGATTGCACAAGTTCAGTCCATATGAATTTGGAAGTGTCACTAACCTAGTCCTGTGATTATGGTTTTGACAAAATTCACATGGAAAAGAACACATACACCATAAAATCTAAGTGTCATAAGGTTTCTCTTCGATTCATGAAAATGATGGTAAGGAAATACTTCCACTAAGAAGATTTTAAGTAGATAGCGGTTGTGATATTTGCATTCTCATATAGTTAGTGGAGCGTGTGTGGTTAACCGGCACACTAACTAGTGAGAATTGCAAAAGGTCTAGACAAACATGTGAGCTATCTAAGGAAAGGTGTATTTTTTGATAAAGTCTTATCAAAGCAATCTAGTATCAGAAATATGAACTTTGGTAAGAAAGTCAATAAAGTATTGATTTCTAGAAGTCCAGTTGA